CAAACCAAGCAAACTCGCCTGGTATATCCTGGTACATTATCCTTAAACCAACGCTAAACTTAGCATGCGCATTTGCTGAATCAAGGTTTAAACAAACAGCACATTCTTTCTAAGGAACCCGTGCGATTCTTGCCTTAAGAACTTCTACGTGACTCTCAGCAAGGTAATGTGCAAACCATGCGCATTTATGCAACTAAGATATTAAAGACTGCGTGGCTTTGTGGGCAACCTCAGCTTGTCCAACCTCTTTTACCTACAAAAATGCCCATGTGCTGTATCGCCCAGTGGGAGGGATAACTTCTGACCAGTTCATCGGGTGTCCTGATCGCTACATGTCGGAAGTCAGCCCTGATCGCTGCGACTTCCACGACCGGTACATCGAAGCTGGATGTAAATGTGCCCTGTGCTCACTCAAAAACCAACCAGTGGATGATGCTCACTCAAAAGAAGCAAACAAGGGAATCTCATTTGCCGTGTTGATCCTTGTTGGTTGCAAGGTGTTACAATTGACACTACGTCTTTGGGCATCCTGAATGTCGCTGGAGCTACGGATCATGGTCCCTGCAAAGAATGATGTTGTCCACAGGCCGACGTCGGAAATCCTGCTTAGCCCAAGTCTTCGCATGTTTGATGATGCTTTGTCGCAACTCCTTCAACAGCGAACGTGCATGGTGACACCGTGGTGACCGGTAACTTTTGAGATTTTGGTTGGCCAAAATTAGGCAAATGAACTCTTCCAGAGTGGCCCATGCCCTTTTGCCCGCCATGTGTCGCCTCCAATCCGTCCGCAGGTGACGTGGGCGAAGGCACTTCAGTGGGCACTGGCATCTCCTGGGAAAACCGCTGAAGCAGCGCCAGTGATGCACCCGTGAATCTGAGCAGTTTGCCTGGATGTTGAGAAAGGACACCCTCCCAGCATCCTGGTAGTGGGACAAAAAGATAGGCATTTTGGTGTGACTCCTCTACAACCGCATCTGCTGCTCCCAGGCACCATGTTTGGAGAGAAACTAAACACTCGAAACCACGTAGGCCCCGTAGGCCATTCTATTCATGTCTCATGTGCCGTGAATAATAGCTCTGAGAAGGTCAGAGCCACTTGCGCCATAATGCGTCACATGCACAGAAGCATTGGTCACCCAACCAACCAAGCGAGGCACCGTTTTAGTCAAACCATCGATACCATGGGAGGTATGATTGACCATCCAATGTTTCAAACAATAAGCACAACCATGGTGGTCATGAAGAAGGATCAAAGCTACAAAACCACCAAATATTGGATTTGAGAAGCAATTAATACAGAATAGACCATCCTCACAACTGAGTGACATGCTAGTGGGCATTTTTCCAAAACAACAAGAGGACTGCTGGATGCATGTTGCACACTATTCATAAATACTATGTCACTATGTTGGATTAGAAACCGCAACTACTCCAGGATTGTCACTGTTATATATAACTGCTGCTTTACAACAAAAACACATGGTTCGTGAAAGATGCTCCTCAATACGATCCACCACACGTAGCGATTTGCTTGATGTACTGTGCAAAATATGGTATTCAGCATACAGGACTATCGTCTGAAGATGGTGTAGTGTCACTTCAATTAATCATGCCTTGCTGTTGTTGTGGGTTGTTCAAAGCTGGCTGACGACTGATTTGTTTGACACTGTCGAACAAAACTGCAGTTGTATAGAAAGGAACAAGGAAAAACACAAAGAACTGGAGACTCTTGTGAAGACTTGAAGACTTGCATTTTCAAGTGGCCTCCAGTCCGGTAGACACTTCTGTAGTCTTCGGGGTAAGTAGTTTTACCCAAACAGCCTCTGCATGGCCATCTGGTCTTAAAAGCAACATCTGACCCACAATCTGAGATTGGGGATTTCCACGAACTGGCATTGAAAAAGCTAAGTCGGCTCTTCGTTCAGCGCATCAACAAGAGACACAAGCGACGAGCAAACCTCCGCTCCAACACGCTCGACAATCCGCCCAAACCCGTCCGTGGGAGAATGGTCCATCTCGCTGCTGTTCCTCGCACGGACTAATTCGTAAGGCTTCGGTGCAGACGAAGTTGTTCAAACATATCATACTGACAGCGCTCCGCTATAGAGGGGTGTGCCATACATGTGTATCAGCATGTGTCTGATCACTGATCACTGCTTTTATGTCATCCAACACAAACATGCATGTGTCCCTCCAATGTGAATGCGGTCCCAAACCACGTTGTTCTTCGTCGCACAACAAAAGTGAAGTGCCCCCTTTTCCTTGCCCTGAGTGGCGGAAGCTCGAACGAAGAGTGAGTTACAAACGGACCGAGGTGACTTCAACAAGGACACCTGAACATGTACCACCACTAAATACAAATCCACATGCGAAATGTGTATAGGTCCTTCTGCTTTGCCGGATCCCTTGCGGACAGGTTCCGAGTGACTTGGATTTTCTCGGATAATTTGCCAGCAAGTGGGAAAATCTGCAAACTAAAGACACCTGCTGAGCGAGCGTCCCTCCATGTCCCGCCGGCTTCCAAGACTGCCGCTCAAAAAGAGTAAAGATTGTCTTCACATGTCCTCACTGATTCCATTCTGGTGATCTTAGCGCACCCAATCTGACGCTCATGGCTCTTAGTGCCCCAGCATGGCCGAGAAAGCGGATGACATCATCATGGCTGACCTGGCCAAGTTGCCCTCTCAGCAATGCCAAGGTCTCCGACTTGACTGTTAAATTGTAAAATCACAATAAAATCACACAAATACGGAGATCTTGGATGAATGAACAGTCAACGAGTCAACAGGCTTTCGCCGTGGAACAAACTCCTTTGGGGACTCGGGGACCCAGGGAGCGCCAGCTGCGGCACTGCTGCGTCTGTTGCTGCCGTTTGGAATAAATGCGTCTGTTGCTCCAGTGTCATTGGAGGATGAAGATGCATGTTCACCCTTGAACAGCCAATCAAGTGTCCCGAAAACAAAAGGATCAATGTGGATCAATTCTTTAGGCAGCCAGCAGTAAACTACTGCAGTAGTAGTTGGCTGTTGAATCACCGGCTGAATGCCACACCCATTTCTTTTTCGCATCCCGTAGCCACCTGTCTTCACTGTGTTCACCGACTGTACAGGTCTTGACCCGAGGAATGCCCCCCTTGACGCGAAGACGTGGGGGAAGTCCCACAATGAACAGAAAACAATGGCACCAAGCGCCCTGAAAGGGCAGGATGGCCCAAACATGCTATTGGGACTTAAGGGAAACTATAGGTTGGGGATAATGATGATGGTTTGTTGTAGCCAAATCCACCCTCAACCGATTCAAGCGTGCCCCATGTCAGGCAAGTCATTCACATGTGAAGCATTCATTAACTCGCTGGCCCTGATGGAAATAAAACCACAAACAACAAACTCCATATCATGACTGGTTGGTGGTTTCAACTTACTTGAAACATATTAGTCGGTGGGTTGAATCATCCCAGGTAAAGGTCGACAACAATAATATCTGAAACCACCACCCAGATGATATGCCGTACATGGAGAATCATGGAGACATGCCCTTGATCCTGATCCTGCGAATCTCGTTGACCGATAGTCTCGGTCCCCTGCTCCACTGGCACCTGGTCGGTGTCGGTCGTAGTTGTGCTGATCCTTTTTTGTGTCAAGTACCGAGCTACCTCAATCTGTGCTCTCCCAGGAACCAAGACAAAATCCACCAGTCAGTGCAGTTTCAAGAAGAGGCCAAATCGGAAAAAACACATTAATTAGCTACTACCTTTCGAACAAGATGGTGCTGGATTCTTCCATGAACAAAAATGGTCACACACGTGCTTCCACGTGTCCCCCTCATGACAGCCTTAGTGGTTCTGAATGCATCTCTTGCTCCACGGCCGAGCGAGCCATACACCCTTCAGCCTCTGGTACTGATTTCCAAGTCCCTTCGTGTTGGCCAGTTGGCTAGTAATTAGGTTGGTATTGTATGGAATAGAGTGTTTTTCCAATTGGTATCAAATGTAGGATCCCTCAAAGCAATCCAGTTGTTTGATATCACGTGTCAAGATCTGTAGACCCAGAACAACATCGGTGGCTCACCTTCTTCACTGCCACCTTTCCAATCTATAGTCCTGTTTTGACTATTCAATACCATTTATAAACTCAATAAATTCATTGGCCTCAAGGTGCTCTGCTAGGTTTGCTCCCGTGCCCACAGGACCAGTACTGGTCGGTGGAAATGGGCAATTTTGGGGCCATGCAAGTTCCTATTCGACTTATTGCATAGCCCAACCGTGCATTAAACTAATCGGATTCGATGAAAAAATGGACACTCCTAGCCGTACCCACCAAAACGCAACGTGATGCCCTGGCGCAGGCTGCAACTTCCCCTGGCACACAGCCTCTTGGACCGTTTTCGTCGGCACCTCGCAAGCTGCTCACGAAGACTGGAGTCTCCACTTTAGACTTTACGGGAATGCTGGTTCCCCAACTGGCACCATGGAACACCATGTCCTGTTCATTACTGGGATGCTTGCTCTTCAATTTGTGAGATGATCAAGCTAGAAAAAAAAGGCTACCAACTGTACGATGGGACTCCTGGAGCCGAGTGAAAAGCCGCCCAAAACACAAACAACACATCCTGGGCAATATGGAAAAGCAACCGGTTTTGGAACCTGGCACCAACAGGTACCCGTACGGGTGCCCCCATATGGGTACCCATTGGTAAGCAGGTCAAAAAAACAAACCGACAAGTCTTCAGATCTTCACCAAACCAAACGACTTGGATGACTCTTCCGAAACGCGCCCCGTAGCCTGTTCCCGGGTAGGCTCTGAGAGCGTCTGAGGAGCGGTGTCTGTCGGGACCTGAACGAAACACGTTCGTCGTTCAAAGTCTCGTGTGGAAGGAGGATAGGACGCTACTAGGGGCTCCTGGCATCGCTACTAGGAGCACGAAGCTACTAGTATGTATTGAAACTCCAGCGAAGCCACTGGGATAAGAATTTTAATATCACTCAAAAAAAGATTTGTTTTTTAAGTTTTCTTGTACTTCTCCGGGTTCTCCGCTTCTTTCTCGTACCTCCGGTTCTTTCTCGCACCTCCGCTTGTTATCCCCTGCCGCGACACTTTTACTCACGTTCTTGCAAGCGATGCACGAGTGAGGTCAAGTATAGGTCATATGTGCGGTGAACTGTCATCTTTGGACTCACCCGTCGACTGTACCTTGCCATTATTCCAACAAAGGATTCATCAATTTGGCAGGAGTCTGTCAGTGGGTTTTCTATCCACTCAAGGTTGCGGCTCCAAATTTCTAAAAAACGGAAGCCGCGGCTCTTTCATTTCCACAGACAGCACAGCACAGCGTTTGTAGGCCCTCAGCGCTAGCAGCCCATGCCGTGCCACAGTAGCTGCATCCAATTGCTCTAGCCATGCACCTGACCGAAACAGCAACCGCAGGGCCGCATTGATGTTTCGCCTCACTGTAGTAAATTTCGTGGCACGACCAGGCGCGGATCGAAAACAAGCACACTTTGTTTTTTCTTTAAAGGCGCTGGGTGGTCTGTGTGGTCAACTGCAAAGTCTCCCAGCCAATGTTTCATGGTATTTTTACTATCTTGTAGCACTCTCAAGCCAGAAGCTGATTCCCTAGCCACGCCAACGAAGCTATGGGATTCAGCCGGAAGGGAGTGTGGACGCACATTCCTGTACGTGCAGCTGTGAATGTTTTGGCCATTCTGGGCGTCTGGGTTGCCTTTGCGCCAGAAAACTGGAGGTGACCAGCGCTTTTCTGCTTGGAACATTAAGAGACAATACAAAAAAAACAGTTGGCCAAAGTGAGTGCTGTTGATATGTTCAATGGTTGCTTGGTGAAATCGTGAGAAACCGGGCTGCGCTGGAACAAATGAAAACTTACACCGGCACGCGGGCTGGGTCTTCGACTGAAAACCCCAAAACCAAAACTAGGGCAAAACAACCAACTGTGCCATTGACAATGCGCAAGACATGGTTTGCAACTGGAAAAGCAAAACTGAACAAGGACACTTCAATTCCCGTTGCAATCTTCAGTTTCTGCTGAATATAGACAGGAACGCCCCACGAAGAGACGAAACACCACAAACAAACCAAACTTACAAGTAGCTGCTATGAAGCCTGGCCAAGCCACCAAAAACACATCGAAAGTGACCATACAGCCCATTACAAGCTCCAAGCGCTAAAAGCAAGCATCTTGCGGTGTAAGTTCGCTTGTTTCATGCGCATTCTTGGTTTTATGCTAGGTTTGGCTGTGTAATTGCTGCGTATGGGCCAACCACCAGTGGCAATGCGCAATGGCGCGCGGTGGCGCGCGGTGGCACGCGGTGGCGTGCGGTGGCGTGCGGTGGGGGCGTGCGGTGGCGTGCGGTGGCGTGCGGTGGCGCGCGGTGGAGACCTATTTTTTATGATTTTTTCCATCATTATGGTGTTATGGAGCGCTGAATCTAGGGCACCTTAACAAAACCTGTCAAAAGACAGCTATACATCGCCTTCACTTCGCCAATGGCCAGATTCTGTTGATTGTCATCACATATGTTGTGATTGTGCACAAATACCACTAATATCTGTGCTTATGTGTGGATATGTACAAAAATTACTCCAAGTGTGCTGGCGCTGTGGAAAAAGGCGTTAAACACAAATGAACAGCTTGCATACACTTCAAGTGATGCGCCTGTGTAAGTTTTCAAGCGCGCAAGTACAACGGGCAGAAAACAAACCCTTAATCGCACCAAGCTCAAACATAGCAAAAGGTCTACAACAGATCAACACTCAAAGGCGCATCTTGGAATCAGAAGCAAGAGTGCGTAAGGGATATTTTTCTTTGAAACAGAATATATCATCATTTTTTTTGACAAGTCAGGTGGCCTTTTCCATTTTCTCACAAATAAGCCCTCTATTCACACACGCCAAGCAACTTTCTTTGCCGACTTGCAGCTGTGCCATGTATAGGACGGAAGGTGAGGAAAGGTTGAAGTCGTCTGCCCAAAAGCACAATCAAGCTGGCGTAAGGGTTCAAAAGCAGTGGCTGGACTTGAAACCTATGACCTCTTGACATATCAAAACTTACCTGCGATCAAGTTGCGGCGTGAAATTGACTACCTCACTGAACACAGCCAAACACAACAAAACATTAACAATTGTTTCAAAACAATGGTAGCGGAGCGGAGAAAACAAAATTTTAAACATCCAGGGGGCACAACCACAGAAATGAAGGGTACTCTCTGGTCTTTCTCAGCCAACTCAGCGACCAGGTCATCTGTAAGGTACGACTCCATCCACTCCTACATGAGTCGAGAAATGTCGAGAACCATGGCTGCGAGAGCATATGGTGTGCACAAACACCTTCTGCCAAGGCTCCAACAAACGTGTTGTCGCGCTGCCTTTTTGCCAGTTTCCTTCAGGCCAGTCCAGCCAGGTCTTGAAGCCAAAGACATCACGGCCAAATTTTGTAACGTATGGCCTTTCCTGAAGCAACCATGAGGTCGCACTTTACGTGCATGTGAGTGCCCCAAAACCATGTGGTTAGCGCAGCCTAGCATCATGCTTTTGCTTGCAAAAGTCTAGCCACTTTGTCGTCATCGAAGCAAACCTGCTTTCGACGCCCGTGCCTTCCTCAAACGCTTGCAACACCACACAAGCACTCGAGACGAAAAAGCGCCCATGGCCCAGATGCCATCCATGAAACAGGTCAGGGCGATATAGCCATGGGCGTCTGCTGGGTCGGGCTGGAAATTTGAGTGTCCAGGGGGACAGTGACTCCCATGGAGCCGCCGCAGCTGCTGAGTCCATGGTCTTTTCCCACAGTGGTGAGGCGGACACATCTTCAAACAAATAGCCTTCTGAGCCACCGAGGCACAAGTGACATACTCCAGGGCTCGCCGAAAGTGCCTTTCTGAGTGCCCAGCCTCAATCAGAAAGGGCCAGTCGCCCTTCACCGCAACCACAGCCAGCCGCAAAACAACAGGCTGTGCGTGACTCTGAAGCAACACACCCTGAGACATAGCATCAAGAAAATCATCAGCAAGCAGGTCCATTGCTTCATCCAACGCCTCCGGGTTGTTCGCGTAGGTCTCTTTCAAAGCGACAAAGGCCAACCACCGGCTAGTCTCCTCATCAAAAACTATAATAACATCACAGATCATTCATAGCGTTTCCTCAATGTCAGAAATCATATGTAGATAATTGCCAGTCTGAACAAGGCGCTGCATGCCCCATCCTGAGTTTCAGCCACGCACAAAGGGTAAGGCATGGAAAACACTTGTTAGCATGCCGGCAGGTCTCAAATTCAAACGCTGTGCCGCGAGCTGCTTCTCTTCAGGTTGCTGCAGTGACTTGCTGGTTCCTTTGCCCAAAACCGCTTGCCAGGAGAGCAGCATAATTGCAAGTTTTTTCTTGCCTTGAAAGGGTCAGGAATCAACATGCAACATGGTACAACAGACATCACGACACTCTGGTCGACCATCTGCGGATCAGCAGTGTCAGGCTTCAGGTTCTAATCCAAGCATGTCCAAACCCATGGGTACAACAGCCATCACGACACTCTGGTCGACCATCTGCGGATCAGCAGTGTCAGGCTTCAGGTTCTAATCCAAACATGTCCAAAATCCCAAGGACATTTCCTCAAAACAAACAGGCCGGATCACCCTGATGTGCCATTATTACACAAACCAGCGCAAAAATATTGAACATTTAACACGAGACACTTCTTCCCTCATCACCATGCACCTTTACAGGTACGGTAAGTCGGAGTTGTTCCTCAGTGAGCTTGTCAAATATTTCGTGGTCGGGGTACTGCGCACGGAAGAGCTTCCAGTATGTGGCAAGGGCCTGCGTTGATTTGTCGAGGTTATTCTCTGGCAGCAGTAGATCAAGCCTTTTCTTCTTCCATAGCATTTTGATCATATCCGTGGGCCGCAACCATGGGTAGCCTCCAGTATGCACGCATGTCAACTACAATTATTTCAAGCACAACATGTCCGACATGCACATGTTGAGCCAAGTTGCTCTCATCATTCCCTATTTTGCCACAAGCAAGCCGAACTGGCGCCCTCAAACCAGCATCATCAAAGGCTTGAAAAGTTTGCCTCGCCTCAACCACCATGGTTAGCAAAAAACAAAAACAGAAGCTCCGTTTGCAGCGGGGTGAAAAAGCGGCAAATGGTTGAAGGCGAAGGCACAGCATGCAAGTCTCCCTTTGCCAGCCGCCGCAAGACAGGGTCATTTCGCTCAAATCCACACTTTGCATCATCTTCCAAACTTGCTTGGGCATGCTCCACCAGCTGTATTGCAGGAGCCTCAGAAGCACAGATTGAATGATTGCGTTCAAAACGACAACGTCAGAATGCAAGTGACCGGAAAGTGCACTCTGCGCAATATGGCTGCGGATGAAAAGGCTACAAAAGGGCTGCACTCTGCGCAATATGGCTGCGGATGAAAAGGCTGCAAAAGGGCAATGCACAAACATGCTGCAGTAGAACCTCTGGACAAAAGCAATCCAAAAAGCTGCGGCTACATGGCGGCATTAAACTAATTGCTGCAGTGAAGTTCATGCACCAAACAGTTGGCAAAGCAATCAAACAGCCTGCGGGAATACTATGCCTGCAAAATGTCTGCGGCGTAGGACAATCCAGAACCGCTATAGCCCCAAATGCAACCAAGCAACTCCTCGGCCAAGACTGCGTGCAAGGCTGCACGCTGTGCTGCTAGCTCGCACAGGCTTGCTCGAGGAGGCCTTCCCTGGCCAATTTGCACCAAACAATGGGCCCAAGTGTAAAAAGTAGAGCAGGCAGCTCAAGCATTCTTCACAGTGTTGCTGCATGCGCCCGCCGATCTCGGCAGGAAGATGCCTAGACCCCCTAACCTGGACCCTTGATGGGCCCAGCGTGAACCCACAAAGGTTCAAACCCTGGTGGCAGCTGCAGTGGAAAAAGCACAGGTTCATCATGGTTGATGAAACATACAACACGTTTAGTTGCAATACCAGCAGCTGCCAATATCTTTCGCCCAACACCAGCTCAGTGAGAAGCATGCGAAGGGGTCCGCACTCAGTCTTTCTTGGCCGCAGATTTTGCTTTTGCCTTCGCTTTCCCCCTGGGCTTCTTCCCAGCAGACTCCTCACCTTCCCCAGTAGCTGCATCCCTCTCACGCTTGTTTTGCAGTGTTTTCTTCTCAGCTGAAAGTAGCTTGTAGCGGTGCTCAGCTGCCAGCACACGCACACACCTGAAGCAAGTACTGGAACAGCCCACAAATTTCATCAAATGTCAATATTAGAAAAATTTAAAGTATTCATGTTGCACGCCCAGGCACGGGGAACGAGCAGATTCTTTGGCATCCAGGATTTTCTTTTGCCACCTAGGTGCCAGTATTGAATACTGTGTATCGTATCGAGATACAAATATCGATCTATTATGTGCATTCATGGCGCGTCTCCTTCTCAGAGGGTTGGCTCTCCAGCAAGTGGGAAGCCTCCGCCAACTTCAGGAAAGATCTTTCAATCTCGCTCAGCAAGCTCTTCATCTCTGAGACGAACCTTAAAGGCCAAAAAAGTCCTGAGGGATCCAGAACAAACAAACGAAAACAACATGATGTTGCAGATGGGGAACGTCTTTGCGCTCCGTTTGCATAGGCTCTACAGCTGTCATCCATGAGACAATTTGGCTTGCCTTCTGGTGGACGGAATCCGTGAACTGTTTCAGTTTCTCCTTGGCATCTTCCACAGAGTCCACAGGTAAGGCACCCACTTTGCCAGGCTCAGCATCACGAGGCATGTCTTCCAGCATTTCCATGTGATCCATCTTCTCCAGTTTGGTGCCCTTGCGGGCCAATGTTTAGTGTGAGGTGCGCATTGCGCATGAGCGTTAAGTTTCCCGCCTCTTCCATTTCCTTGACACTCATGACTCTCTTCAAATCCTTTTTTTAAGCTTCACGGTGTCTGCAGTCATAACAAAGTATTCCCGGACCGAACTGTCATAGCGCCATGTCCTGCGCGGGTTGTGTGAACCTGTATCTGTATCAAATGTGGTATCACCCTAAAAACTACATTTTAGGAAACACTACAATTTAAGAAACAATGTTGTAACCAGAAGTCCTGGTAAGCACTGATTTGAAGCGCAAGCAGAACGGTTTGATCTTTGCAATCAGCGCCCTGATCTTCTTAAGGTGACGCAGGCCGATCTGCAACATAAAATTTTTATGGCAAAAATATGGTTAATGTTTAATCAAGTTGCTCGCTGTACTTCAACTCGGTCTCAAGGCGCTCTTCAGTATACCAGCCACCACAGACTTATTCTTCTCTGGCCCGGTGAATCTCATGAATCTTGATGACTTGCTCCGTAAATTCACCCTGCAATGTTAAAATGATATACTCGCGCGCCACGTCTTAGAATATATTGTTCAATCAATTGACCACTGAACTTAAAGTGCAATTTTGGCCACGCCAGTCCCGAACCACTTTCCGCGTCTTGTGACTGTTGTCAAACCCATGGATCTTCAAGGCCCGCACCAAAGCTAATGAAAGCTCATCTCGGTTGCCTGACATCCACTGGTCTGCAATATCTTGCGGCACATTCAGCTTGCCAGCACTGGTCTTGCTCCAAAGTCGTTTCAGCCGCATGCGCCGCATGTACAATGCATGATCAGACAATTCCTGCTGTGGCGGCACAGGAGAAAACAACAGCACAAATTTATAAACAATACAACTGCACCCCCGCTTAAAAAAAAGAAACAAACAGTGAAGCACACACACACAACCACGCTCCTCATGGCTTAGGTCCATCTCCTCCATCAGTTCCTTTTCAGCAGAAGGCACAGCGGTGCCCAGAGAAACTTGAGGACTGGAAGCTTTACCGGAAGTTGCCGCAAGAGCTGGGCCATGAGGAGCGATTGAGCCTGCAAAGGCTCAACGAACCCAGGCACAACAGGCTGACCAGGCGCAGCAGGCTTCCAGTCAGGCTTCCCAGACTCAGCTGCTTTGGACACAGGAGACGTGAACACGAGCTTTTGCAGCGCAGGGGTCGCAGGACATGACCCAGACGTATTTGGAGTCGCACTGGCACTGGCCATCTGCAACTGAAGCGCAGCCATTGACTTCAACAGGGACTCATACTTCTGTTGCATGTCTGCCAGCTGCGTGGCTTCTGGTGTAGGTGCTGCAGGTACCTCAGGCGGAGGAGGCTTTGGTGCAGCCTTGACAGCGGTCATCTTTGGCGTGACAATCGGTGTCGGCACCTTCGGTGAAGGACTTTCTAGGCCCAACTGGTTGTCAGGAGATTCCTGGGTCTCCACAATAACCGTCCCAATAACCTGGGTCTCCACAACCTGTGTTGGCTCCAAGAGAGACTCTTCAAATCCATACCTCAATGTATCCGCCCGCAGTAGTTCCTCCACGGACTCTTCGAAGTCTCCCGCCTCCTCAGATGAGGAGTCGACTGCCAGGATCTCATCCTGATGCGATATTGGAAGCCATGCATGCCATGCATGCTGTTAAAGATTAAAAACACACACACACACACCAAAAAAAACACATGAATTTGAACAGGTCTCCTCGATAAAAAGCTTTTGGGGCAGAAGTGCAGGTTCCACCACCTCGTGCTTCATCAACACTGGTTCAGCAGGCATGGTGACCAATGGAGTCGGCGCAACACCAGTTGCAGGCGCTTCTGGAGTAGGCCGAACATCTGCGCAAACCACTGAAAGCATTGTAGCCTCTGCCGCTCGCGCAGGTGTAGCCACAGGTGCTGCAGGTGTAGCTGCAGGTGCAAGCTTCTTCATGTCCCCATCCGAAGCTTCCATTTTTACCTTTCACCATTGGGGCCCACCCATGGTTGGAGTCTGGAATTTCCCGCCCATGGCTTGAACCTAGGAAAACATGTGCGCAGCTTCAACTCAGGACCTCGCCACCTCAGCAACATGTCCCCCCAAGGGGTGCTGCCCGATCTGGGCGTCATTTTCCTGCAATGTGTGGGTGATCTTGAAGGTCGGGCACAAAAATAAAAATATATACAAAATCCAACCGCAGTCCTTAAGTAAAGCTTCCAGTTGCTCCATCGTGAGGTGCTCGGTCTCCGCAGAAAACTTGTTCATCTGCTCTTTCAGCGCAGCATCAGCAGGAAGCGAGGCCATGTCCACGACGGTAGCTGCACCGTGCAGAAGGTCACTGCAACTCCACTGCTTTGACGGAAACTTTGAAACCATCGCTAGCCGGAAGCCAAAACTCTGGCAAGAATGCCATGATATAACACAAAATGTCATTAAACCAGCCCTTGCAAGCCAATAACCTCTCGTTTGGAGCGTTTGTGGGCATTTTGGTGCTCCAAAACTACACTTGGAAATACGGTGGTACGAGATGATACGTGCATTTAATCCGGGGTTTCTCGTACTTTTTTCTCGTACCACCTCCGCCTTTTCTCGTCCCTTCTCCGCACTTTCTCGTACCTAGTCCGCTTCTCGAATTTCTCCGTCCGTAAAACGAATTTCCCCGCATACTTTTTGGACTTTCTCCGGATAAAATTTGAATATCTCCGCATGTATTTTGGGGTTGTGCTTTCGTAACAGATTTACATGCGTTTTAAAGGATCAACCTACATAGTACTGCGGAAATGTTTTCTTCCACCTTCGTGGAACTTGCAGGTGCTTTGACCCTCTAACATAGGCGCAGGCCCTTGTCAGATCAGCTTCGCACCAATCTGTATTGTCGACCATCCTCTGCAATAGCCCTGGCACATCAGATGCAACATCTGGCAACCTGGGTGGGCCAGAATTGTGTGCTATGAGCCGCGGAAGGAAACGCCGGGCCCGCAAACCAAAGGCGATTGGGTAGGACCTCAGTCGGATCAAGTCACCATGCCAAAACATGCACGGCCGCGTGTCAATATGCTTCACGAATAAGCATCCCACTGAGTACCCTTCAGGTAGCGGTTTCCAGAAAACTTGACTTTCCCATCTTTTATAGTCTTCTTTGTGGTTTTCACACTGCAAGCCAATCTTGCCATCTTTCGAAGATGCCCGCGGTCAAGGCAGTGAACTTCACTTGTGTTTGCCCATGCTCTGTGGCGCTTCCTCAGTATGAATTTAATTCCCAAAAAAGGTCAGCAATTTTGTTTAACGAACCGAGTTTCGGAGTAAGTGCGCCATAGTGCCGTGCCCACCACCCCACCCGCCACATCTTGACCATGCGCTGGAGCTGTTCCCATTTGGGGTACCAGGGGAGCCGGCTGCTTGCCGGCTGCTCCACCATAAAGGTGCCATTCAAAGCTACAATGAGGTGGCATAAAAGTATAGCACGGGATAATAACAAGTTTCCTTCCTGAGATGGCTTGCATGAACAACAAAAAGAGATGAATTCAGAAAAATAGAAAATAGTACATGTTTTCTAGCAGAGTGGCCTTGACATGAGGTAGGCTTGTATTTCCATAAGGAGTAGCTGGAGAACGCTGGTGTGTACCAGCATTCACCGCTGAAAAGGATGTGGAAACCACTGCTAGTAGAGCAAAAAATCCAGCGGGATCTGTGTTCAACAACACCCAGACAGCCAACCTTGGATCGTTGATCAAAAGCGGGTCTGTTTTGAACATGGCTTAACTGCCCGGGATATATGATATATGCAAAATGTGCAGACAATATAATATACAGCCTCAAAAGCTTCCAGAAGTTATAGGAAACGCTAGACCTGCAGCAGCGCCAAGGTCAAAGGCATTTTAACGATGCACTTCGCAACATCCGTGTTTAATGTCCAGCTGCGCTGTAGCCACCAGCCCATACTTCATACTTTTCCCAACATTGCCATCACCAGGGAAAAACTCCACGCATTTGAAAGCCTGCTAGGACATGAGTCCAAAAAGCCCACATAAGAACACGTGTTTTTAATTCGCAGGTCACGGTGCCTGCGGCACATCCGGCATGGATCTGAGGTAGAACACCATGACTACCAACCAAATGAATGCCTCCAGGGTTTGATCGAAACAAGAAACTCTTGGGACTGTTTCTCTCAACCTTGGCCTTGGGTGTATTCAGGAGCATTAGGCGCAAGACTAGGTTGTCCAGGTCTTTCTCATTTTTCACTGCGTGCGGCATGCACCCAAAAGCAAGACTTCTGGGGCCGTGATCGATCCAAAAAGGTTGCTGCGGTGGATGACTTAAAATGACTTTCAAGCCATCGGGACACAAAGAACGAGTACTCTAAACGCTGCAGCAAAACATGTCTGGCTGACCTATTGACCTCCTCACCCTCTCGCAGTTGGCTGGAGGCAGCGGCAAGCGTTGAAGGCGCACCGCCACTGAGGAAGCACCAGCCACCAATCTTGGCGCCTTCGTTCTGGCACCTGCTTTCACCATGAGACCTGCACAGGAGGCAACAAAACTGTTGAGTAGCAATCGCATGACATGCCCGCAGCACACCTGCACTCATCTGACACGATGTTTTTTTCGTGCAGGACGCAGCTTTCAGGTCATATACTGCTCGCCGACCTAATCTAAAGTACAAACTCTCAGGAAGCACCATGGTCACGATGCTTGTGGCGTTTCTGCTTCTCTGTTTTGCGATCACGTCCCGTTGAACTGCCCCTCCGTTGGTTGTCACGCCCTTCATCCGTACTGCGAGCTCTTGTGCGTTCAGCAGCTTCCATGGTGCGGGCAGCAGCCATGGGCATGGACACAAGAGGAGGCGGAGGCGGCGGCATCGGAGCACCTCACCAGTGATCTGTAGCTCAAAAATGGAAAATCTTAAATACACAATCTTACATTCAATCTGGCCAAGCTGCTTTTGGAGACATAGTACCCAGCAGCTTGTAGCATCTGCACTGCTTGTTCAAGCAATTAGCCCACCGCTGGCTGGAGCATCCCTCGGACCATTCCCTTTTGGCATCACGTAGGGTACATCAGACACAGATTTTACTTTTCCAGGATCGCCTGCAACTTCGCAAGATATTGCATATCACTCCGTCACACACCGGAAGAAAAGAACATTGAATACTGAACAAATTCAACCTAAAATGGGCCAGAGTACCCTTCGCAAGAAATTCCACACACACCAAAAATAAAATCTATACCGCTAAAAAATCAATATAAAATTGGCCGGAGTACTGGCACATTTCCTGACCGACTTTCTCTCATCTCCAGTGTTCACGTCAGAGTAGGATTCCTCCGTGTCCGACTGGTGGCGTCGTGGTGGAGGGTATGCCATTTGTGGGCCAAGGATCATTCCAGGGGGTGGAGGTTGCGTAGGCATTGTCCCCGGTTGAAAAGGCATCCACAAAAGGCAGCATACCCACTGCCCTGGTGCATGGTTAGTAGGCCGTAGTTTTGGCCGCGGATGTCCAGCGCCCGGCCTGAGAGCCGAGTATAATATATTACACAATAATTTCAACAAAATAGAATCTCATTAAAATTCATGGGGGCTGTTGAGAAGATTCAAAAGCAAGTTTAAGCTTAGTTTCTGCTCAGGCAGGTGTGCTGACTCTGCTGTAGATGCCGTAGGTCCACCTTTCCTTAATCAACCATAGACGCGTGCCCAATCACAAGAAATCTATATACCAGCTAAGTCCGTACCGCTCAAAAAACATACAAAGACTGTTGTTTTTCCAGTTTAAGCTTCTGCGCATCATACTTTCCATGTCCTTTTCCAGGTTCATGGCCACGACCATCCGCTCTCGGATGGTTAGACATGTCTTTAAAATAACGAGTCTTTGGGCCAAACAGTCTGGCAGAAAGGAAGCTTGAGGGACTTTGGTGCACAAAGTTTGCGCGCGCAAGCCGGTGCGCCCCTGTTGGAATATGTCCGGCCTCAAGCGTCAGGCGCTGGCCAGGCTCAGCTGCCGACATGACCTGGCAATGAAAGCACGATGCGTGCAGAACTGGACACAGCTTTTCTTTTGCCACAGGCCCGTGCTGTGCACGAAATGGCTGCGCATCACACTCTGGGAGTTGACCCCTTTAGCTAAAATGAACACATGAAAAAACCATGACCCAACAGTGTGGAGCGGCAGCAGGCTGAGTGAAGTGAACCATGATCCTGTTGGATCAAAAGCAGCTGCGATTCCAGCTGCACCCCTAAAATGGCAACATGCTTTGCAGCGGTGCGTTCACACGGGCTTCGTGGACAGCTCAGCATTGAACTTGTCCAAGGCACTGGCGGCAGTCAGCTGGATCATCTTGAAGTGGTTTTCTGCCTCATCACTTTCCACCCATTCCTGTGGGTGCCTATAGTGGCCTCTTCTGCCATTTTGTGCGCCTGCAGAAGGTTCACAGCAATTGTGGGGAAAGCGATCGAGAAGTAGAAGATTTGCTTCTTCGTTTCCTTGACCTTCAGACCCACAGCAGGGCGTGTCCAGTAGGGAGTGATCAACCGGCTTTCATATATCCTCAGCGGTGGCGAGGGTCATTCTCTCCAAAGAAACAGGAAAACAAATACAAGGCACTGAATTGCGGCGAGGGTCTGTTGGTGCATCGTCCCCGTCTCCTTGGAGTAGGGCGGTGCGTCCTGGTATTTCTTCATGAGATCGAGGAACTCTTGCTCCATTGCCTTGTCCAGCACGAACTCATGGCGCCGAAGCCTCTTACGCGACTTGCCATTGTTCCCCACATTCTTTGGCTGAGCCTCCTCACCACCATCAGCACTTTTGTCCCCATCCCCTTTGCGCTTGGCAGCCTTCACAGCCTTTTCCTCTTCCGCTTCTTTCTTCTTGGCCTCCTTCTTGGCAAGCGCGGCAGCTGCAGCTTCCTCTTTCTTTTGACGTTTCTGCAAGAGCTTCTCTTGCGCAGATGCTTCCACCTCTTCCGGCGTCTTGCGAGGTCGCCCTTTGGGTTTCTTTTCCTTTGTGGGCTCCGACAGCTTGGCTTCCTTGCGGGCCTCCTTTTCAGCTTCAGCTGCTTCCTTCTCCTCTTTCCGCATTTGCAGTTGGCCACGGCGAAAGTTTTCCTGGGAGTTGCCCATGGCTGCCTCCTTATCCAAGAAACCTTCAGCTTCAGCTAGAACTGTGGGTAACTCAACTTTGGGCTGCGGAGCCGTCGCAGCTTGAGCGGGCAACTCAACTTTGGGCTGCGGAGCCATCGCAGCTTCAGCTGGAACTGGTGGCAACTCAACTTTGGGCTGCAGAGCCGTGGCAGCGTCAGCTGTAACTGGGGGCAACTCAACTTTGGGCTGCAGAGCCGTCGCAGCTTGAGCGGGCAACTCAACTTTGGGCTGCAAAGCCGTCACAGCTTCAGCTGGAACTGGTGGCAACTCAACTTTGGGCTGCGGAGCTGTCACCGCACTGTGTTCAATCACTTGGAGCTTGGCAGCCTGACCCGCAGCATCATCCAAGGGAAAGATATCCATTGGCAAGGTCTGGGCCATATCAGCAGGAGAACCTGCATGTGTTGCGTCTCAGCCACAGGAAAATGATCAGGTTGGGATCAGAAGTCAGCCAAGAAACCTTCAGCAGACAGTGTCGTAGAAGATGCCAAAGATGAAGCCAGTGCTTCAGAGCGCTTCTGCATGCCTCACTTTTCCAACATATCGACGCGCGCAATCCCTCCATCCCACACTCTCCCTGCAAAACCAGGAGCCGGAAGGGGCCCTGGCTATATTTACTCCACCCATGGCTGATGCAATCAAGGAACAGCTCCTTGAGGTACTGCCGCCGCAATGCCAGTGCAACCAGTGTCTCCGAGGACTTGGGGCCTGCGGCCTTTGGCAGACCAGGCTGTTTTGCCGTAGCTCGAGTTGTTGCCCCGGCAAGTACAGCAGCCTGTGGACTTGCAGCTATCGGGGCTGCAGCTTCGGCGGGCACTGGTTGGGACAGATCTGCTGCTGCTTCTTCAGCCTTACGAGCCAGCTCCTCCCAACTTTCCTCAGCCGGAAGCGCAGGCTCGCGGGCCGGAGGTGCGGAAGCAGCCTTTGGGCTTGCCATTAGAGGAGCAGACCCAGCACTCGAACTTGAAGATGCCCGGCGCATTGTAGAATCCTGCTGTTCACTGCAGCAAGACTACTAATTAATTTCTTGAAATTATTCATGTGGTGCGTACACTAGGGGGAAAAAAGAGCCAAGTGAGGATGGCAGCAGAAAAACGGCAGGGCAGAAAGATTGCCGCGAGAGAAGGCCTTCAACATAGAAAGGCTCAAAATCCTGCAGTAGCTGCGGGAAAATGGCTACAGAAAAGGTTGAACAGAAAAGGCTCCCAACAAAGATGGCGGGCGTAAATGCTGCAGGAAGTGCAGCAAAGCCTAGCAAAACGTCGACAGAAAAGGTTGCGGCAAGTCTGCGGGAAACGGCTGCAGAAAACATATGGCTGCGGAAACATGGGCGAAAATGGCTCAAAATCCAAAGCTACAGAAAATGGCTGCAAAAGTTGCTGGAGGATGTGTTGCAACTAGAATTTTTACATTTCTCCCTGCAGTCCTTGGGCTTCCAATCGTCCAAATCCATCCCAAAATCTTTCAGGAGGCCTTGAAGTACTGGATCCTTATTCCATGTCATGTGTGTCCGACACACAAATAGCGTCGTAAAAGGCTGCAATCTCCTGACTCAGCGCCTGCAAGCACGGCACTTTGTCTTGGTTCCCAGAAAGTCTGCGGAGCACTGGTCCCATGACGTGCTTGTTGTGCTTCAAGTTGCCAAGCGTTTTGGGTACAGCGCCCTTCGTGGCAACTGCATCCTCCCCAGAAACGGCCTCTTCGGTCAGCAGCCTGTTCACGGTACGAATCCGACTCCTCAACGGGACAAGGGCGTCCCACTCGTCTGACAAGCCAGCCAGGTCTTCCATCACTTGAACGACGGAAGCTTTCCCACCATCCGCAGTTGCCATGGTCAAGCCGCCAGCGCTAGTGCCAGTACTATAAAATGCAAGCTGCAGAAAAGACTGCGGAACAAACATGGCCCATGTTGATCCAACCAACAGCAAACCTAGCATTTCAGAGGCATTCCCGCATGCTCTCGCTCTTCAGAAACATGGCAGGAGCACAATGCGAACCCAGGCGCGACCATGAGGCACCCAAGCTGATGGAGAGCCATACTAAATGGCTCTGTAGGGCGCGGGCATCAATTCTCGTACCGCTTTTCTGTGGGATAGGAATTCCAATACCACTTGAAAAAAGAACGCGGTTTTCAATACAGTAAAGTAAGCTTTTTGAGCGGTACGGGCTTAGCTGGCTCCTAGTAGAGGAAAGGTTAATATGAAAATGATATGCACAAATATCCCATCCCCAAACCCTTCACACTGACCAAGTGTTGGGCCCGGATAGAGAATCAATAGAAGAGCTGATTGAGGGTTAACCTGGATTAACCTTGGGGCACCTCCATATTCACAAAAAATATTAACAAGTCCAGGATTGGTTTCGTCATTTCGGTGGATGAAAACAAACACAAACGCAAAAACACATACACACAAACAAAGACAATGTAAATACGTATATTATAATATACCGTATATTAATACTGGCCAGTCTTGAGAAAGGTGACCGTTCTCTTCTTCCAACATGTTCCAACGTCTTTTAATCCAACAAGCTCCCGTTCGGCTGCGCCTCCCGGTGTTTTCATTGGAGCAGTGGATCCTACAGAAACCCTGCTACACTTCCTACACACTTCTGCTTCAGTAATGATAGTGGCCCATCCCCGAAACAAAGCAACCAAGGGACCAATCAACAAGAACAATACGAACCAGCAATCCAAACAATTACGAACAAACCCACACGTACAAAAAAATTGCTTAGGCTTAGTCACGGGGGTTGGGGGGGGGTTGCCGGGGGGGGGGCTATGGTGCTTAGGGTTTGCTTATTGATAGTGTGCAAACAGTGTGCATTCTTATTAAGCTTCTAATAATTACTAATAGCAGCTATTAAGCTTTTAATAGGCTTTTAACCACCATGGAAATGGCCTTTAATAAGGTCTTAGCAATAAGACCCTAATAAAGTCTTATTAGCCTTGGATAGACACAGGATAGCTTATCCAATGAGACCACCCAATCCCAATCCGATGTTTTCATCCATCGGCTCCGCTCGATTTGGCCGCCGTTCCTTTCGGGGCCCTGGCTCCAAAAAGCCAGCGACTGTTCTTTGACAATCGATTATTGAGGGTTTCATCAATCATGAAATTTATAGTTAATATATACTGTATATATATATATATGTGTCCAGAATCTACCACCAGAATTCAACCTCTTTCCTTCCACCAAACAACATTATGAGCAACAACATCTGCTGAGCCGTCGGATGGTCAAAATCCGCCACGGCAAAAAACGTGCACATGTCTGTTTTGGAGGGCCTGCAGGAAGGGGGCTGATCTGATAGTTATTTGATGTTATATACTTGATAGCTTAGTCATTCTCTAAAAAGGCCTTGGGCATAAGGTCCATAGCCCCCCCCCCCCCGCCCCCCCCC